TCGAACTGCTAGGTGGGCAGGAGCTGGGTCCGAACAACGGGAGCTCACCCCATCGCAGGGATTTGAACCGCCGACCTTCCGATCGGCAAGCCCTAGGCTCAGTGGTTTAGACCACAGTGCCACCCGCATCGCACCGAAGCTTCGTTTAGGTAAGTTCTAAACATCCTGCCCTACCCACCCTATACAGGTGGTTGAATACGGACTTGACCTCCAGCATTTGGTTTGTGCCACATTTGTTCAGAGGGATTACTTCTTCCTCGCTTCTTTCTTAGGCTGTCTTCTTGCCTTTGTCCACCTGTACTTCTCTGCCTGCTCTGTCTCTGGCTCAGATATGGTCAGAACAGGAGGCGGAAAGTCAGGGCCAGTGGGAGTGTTGTCCGACGGTTTATTGGATTCTTCCTCTATGCCTCTGTTGAGAATGTTCGTGGTAAATAACCATTGTTTTGTTCTAACCTGTCTATGCATATTCCCTTCCCCATTTGGCACTCCAACATTGCCTTGACTCAGCAAACTGGATGCAAACTGTAGACGTTTCACCTGGAGTACTGTGTCCAGTTCTGGGCACCTCAGTTCAAGAAGGACACTGACAAACTGGAACGTGTCCAGAGGAGGGCAACCAAAATGGTCAAAGGCCTGGAAACGATGCCTTATGAGGAACGGCTAAGGGAGCTGGGCATGTTTAGCCTGGAGAAGAGGAGGTTAAGGGGTGATAGGATAGCCATGTTCAAATATATAAAAGGATGTCATATAGAGGAGGGAGAAAGGTTGTTTTCTGCTGCTCCAGAGAAGCGGACACGGAGCAATGGATCCAAACTACAAGAAAGAAGATTCCACCTAAACATTAGGAAGAACTTCCTGACAGTAAGAGCTGTTCGACAGTGGAATTTGCTGCCAAGGAGTGTGGTGGAGTTTCCTTCTTTGGAGGTCTTTAAGCAGAGGCTTGACAACCATATGTCAGGAGTGCTCTGATGGTGTTTCCTGCTTGGCAGGGGGTTGGACTCGATGGCCCTTGTGGTCTATTCCAACTCTATGATTCTATGATTCTATGATTCTATGATTCTACGTTTTAGCTCTCAATGCAGCTTTCCTACAAACAGGCTGCTTTCTCTCCCCTTTTACCAAAGCAGTAGGCACTCAGCGATGGGTTTTATCTGAATGAAAATAGCACCTCGGGACAGAAGGAGCAATAATACAGGAGTTTGTTTATTTCTCCTTAGACAAAGTTGTTTTTTCTCACCACCACAAATTGAAGCGTTCTGCAGAAAGTCTCAAACATGACACTAGGCATGTTTTGAGCCTTAAAGGCTGAAAGCGAATGCCAGTTCTCTGGAGATGCAATCTTGTGTTTATGCAAGAGCTGGATTGCTGCCTGTATCCACACCGCCCACTCTTTTTAGCCAATGGCTCACTAGCTAGACATACTCACATACACAGTAAAATGTAGTATGCAGAAAAAGATTCCTCCTAAGGGTGGAAGTTAAAGGAATGGGGAGCAAAATATGTTACTGGTGTAGAGCATGGTGAATGAGCCCCTGTCTGCAGAAAGTTTCACTCTGAAGATGAGGAAGAAGGAAGGAGTTCTCTGCAGACTAATCAGATTAGACCTTTGGCACACACAAAAAAGGTTTATATGATGCTTTAGACAAGCATATAAGTCTCTTTCACATATTACTTGCAAGAGAGTGGGGCCATGCTCCTGCCCCACTTATTTCTTTATTGCTTTAGGATCCACACTTTGAGAACTGTGGTCAACAAAGTGGTATCACAACAGATATAAAATGTAATTGAGATTCAAATGGGCTCTGGTAATTTTAAAACAGCCATTTCCTGACAACCCACACAGGAAAGCAAAGGCCTTAGGGAAGAGAGAGGCCTTCAAGGCCTAGGCAGCTATGGATGAGCCCTGTGGGGCCACCACCAAAAAGGCCCTGTGAGCAGTGCCACCCACCCACCACAGCCACATCTCTTCTTCACTGGCAGACACTTCAGTTGAGACCCTCTGATGTCAATCGCAGAGTCCTAGCAGACTGATCTGGAGAAACAGGGAAGATCATGTTAGTATTTCACTCAGCCGATGCTGCAAATGTGACTGGTGTGAATCACACGCCTGTCTGAGAAGACTGTGGGAACGGAAGACAGCCTTATCTCTCTTCCGCTGTGTGTACTTTGTAACATACTTTCACTTTTTTTTTGTTTTCTCGGAGCTGAGGAGAACGGTTGCCATTATGCTGTAGTCTGTATATAGTGTGTAAATAAATAGTAGTTTAGATCTACGATGTGTCGCTCTTCTTGCTGTTATGCCAGAAAATTAGTGTGCATATATCAAGCTGATACAGTGGTACCTCGGGTTACATACGCTTCAGGTTACAGACGCTTCAGGTTACAGACTCCGTTAACCCAGAAATAGTACCTCGGGTTAAGAACTTTGCTTCAGGATGAGAATAGAAATCGAGTTGTGGCGGCACAGCGGCAGCAGGAGGCCCCATTAGCTAAAGTGGTGCTTCAGGTTAAGAATAGTTTCAGGTTAAGAACGGACCTCTGGTAACCAGAGGTACCACTGTATATGACGCTGAGCTCCCTGGAGAAGAAGGGAGATGCCTTTTCCAGTGCTGCGCACATTGGAGGATGCTCGGAGTTCTGGGGGTTTGCAGGCGACCCCAGGGCGTTTCCCAACAGATCATGTCCAGCACTTTGAATTGAGCCCAGGAACATATCTGCAATGAGCACAAACAGGTGCTGGAACGTGTCCAGAGGAGGGCAACCAAAATGGTCAAAGGCCTGGAAACGATGTCTTATGAGGAACGGCTAAGGGAGCTGGGCATGTTTAGCCTGGAGAAGAGGAGGTTAAGGGGTGATATGATAGCCATGTTCAAATATATAAAAGGATGTCACATAGAGGAGGGAGAAAGGTTGTTTTCTGCTGCTCCAGAGAAGCGGACACGGAGCAATGGATCCAAACTACAAGAAAGAAGATTCCACCTAAACATTAGGAAGAACTTCCTGACAGTAAGAGCTGTTCGACAGTGGAATTTGCTGCCAAGGAGTGTGGTGGAGTTTCCTTCTTTGGAGGTCTTTAAGCAGAGGCTTGACAACCATATGTCAGGAGTGCTCTGATGGTGTTTCCTGCTTGGCAGGGGGTTGGACTCGATGGCCCTTGTGGTCTCTTTCAACTCTATGATTCTATGATTCTAGGTGCAAATTGGCGTAATATGTTCCAACTACCTGGCGCCCAGAGTGGAGTCCCTAAGGTGGTTGGATGGTGCCTTGTATGCCTCCTTCTGGAAACTCCTGCTAAAGGGGTGCCCAATGTATTGTTCTGCTTTCCTTTGCACCACGGCGGCAAGGTCAAGAGTGGGGCCTTGTCATCTGGACAGCCCAGGACCTACATACACACTGCACAGCTTTGTGCCAACAAAAACAACGTGGGAGGCAGCATTCACGAATTGCCCGGTCTCTGCAGCCACAGCAGGCGCTGTGATTCTCCAGCATTCTGACTTCATCCCTGGAAGCACACTCCATTGTCTCTCAAGACAGATGGGTGCCAACAACAAACTGGCATCAATTAGTAGCCAATATTTTTCTCCAGTTGATGTTTCTGGGCAACCATTGTCAGTCACACTTGCCTGATCCTGCCTCCAGAGAACCACAGATTAGTGTGTTTATTTGTGAAATAGCCGTGGTGTGCCCTGTTTCTCCATCAGTCCCCTTTCCCCACTCACTGTAGCAGTAATTTTTAAATATAAATTTAGTAAATAAAATAAGGAGTCAGATTTTTGCCCCATAACAAGTTGGGGGAAGGGCGGGCAAGGGGACTAGTGAAAGAACAGGGCAAGAGAAGCTGCATTACCTAAAATTTACAGAACTAATAACACCACCCTGATATTTTGTGAGATGCTGGTATACAAATACATTTAGTTATTCATTCATTCATTCATTCATTAATGAACCTTTGATAGGAAATGCACAGCATCCCAGATCTGCAAGCTGACCATTGTGTTGGAGAGGAAGACGTTAAAAATAATATATTTTTTGTTGGCCTTGAGGTTTTCTACAGCCAGTTCTAATAAGAGGCCCTCCGGGAATAACCAAGGCGGTGGTGGGAATTGCTTCCTTGTTGTATGTAATGGGAAATCAGAGTTAGGTTTACAGACGTTTGTTCAGGTTCCACAGTCAGTAACTTTGAAGCTTCTCCGACAGAAGTGCTCGCGTTCTGAATTGTAATAAGGTTGTGTCCGATTCCTCCCTTTCTCCAGCTGACTTGCTGTACAAGAAAACAACCAGGTGCTCTTGTTGACAGTAGTTCATGCTGACATTGGTGACTATCGTTTGGCTCACTGTAATGATTATTATTATTATTATTATTATTATTATTATTATTATTATTATTATTTATACCCCGCCCATCTGGCTGGGTTTCCCCAGCCACTCTGGGCGGCTCCCAACCGAATATTAAAAAGTTATGGGTTAAGATTTGCCCAAAAGCTTTGTAAAATTAAGTGCTTTGGGTTTGTTCCAGTTAAATGATGCAATACTGCAGCCTTGCCCTTGCCAAGGACTTCCACATTCCTAGCCTTTGTTTTGTTTCATTTTATTGCCATTATAAACTCTCATGCTTAGCACATTGAGCTTATTAACAATTTTCAGAGGGGTAGCCCATGTAGCAAAAAGAATCTTGTGGCACTATGTAGACTAACAAATTTATTCCAGGAGCATAAGCTTACTTTTTTAAAAAAAGGAGCGAAAGTTTAAATTCACAGGGTTCTTTGAGTAAGCAGTGTATCAGATTAAATGGCGTGTAATGTTAATGGGTTTATAATGGCCAGAAGTGCTTGGGATTTAAGATTACGGCAGACGTTTTGCTGACATGGTTCATCCCACATTGTCTGTGAGTTTTCGAAGTGTTTTCTGCTGCATTTGGTGTTGGGCCCCTGGAGCAGAATGTGTTGCCTTTGCCCAACACTAAGAGCATCCTTGCCTCTTTCTCCCCCCATTTCTTTTAGGTCTGCCAGTTTGTGGTTTCGGTGAATGGGCTGAACGTCCTCCATGCAGACTACAGGACAGTGAGCAACCTCATCCTGACTGGTCCTCGAACCATCGTCATGGAAGTGATGGAGGAGATAGAGCCTTGAGGAGGACACTTTGAGATGAGGACATATACCTTGTCCAAGACAATTATCCTGCCTTCGAAGTACTTTCCTCCCTCCCCTCCACCCCCAGTTTACCAGTAATAAATACTTGGGTGGATACGCTCTTCAGCCAATGTTTGTACCCATGGTACTGATGTGCAGACTCCCCTGTGCTATGCTGTGGGCCAACTGCATATCCGGGATGTAGCCATCTCAGGTGGCCTGCATCACAGATGGCTGTGGTACCAACAGAAGGGTCAGAATCATGTCAGGAATTGCATCCTTGCAGGTTTCCCCAATGCTATGCCACTCCTGTTTTCCTTCACAATTTTATTTCTGCGACGGAGCCACCGCTGAGATCATCCGAAGGACTTTCACCTTGGGAACTGGGCCGCATCGTATATTTTCATTCGCACTTGTAATGTGCCAATTGAAAGCATTACCAGGTGGTGTGTGTGCATTGTTTCAGGATGCTGTAGCAGAACATCAAATTCTAATAAATTAAAAGGAGGGGTAAAGGTGAAGGGACTCCTAACCATTAGGTCCAGTCGTGGCCGACTCTGGGGTTGCGGCGCTCATCTTGCTTTATTGGCCGAGGGAGCTTCCGGGTCATGTGGCCAGCATGACTAAGCCGCTTCTGGCGAACCAGAGCAGCGCACAGAAACACCATTTACCTACCCGCCGGAGTGGTACCTATTTATCTACTTGCACTTTGATGTGCTTTCGAACTGCTAGGTTGGCAGGAGCTGGGACCGAGCAACGGGAGCTCACCCCGTCGCGGGGATTCAAACCGCCAACCTTCTGATCGTCAAGTCCTAGGCTCTGTGGTTTAACCCACAGCGCCATACAGCAAATGTGGCCTAAGTGAACAATTTGGATACATCCCGTGCATTTTTCTGCTTGTTAAGTCTTAAGTTGCAGAATCGTTCCGAGAGTCATCTAGTCCAACACCCTGCAATGCAGGAAACATTTGCCCAATGTGGGGCCTTGAACCCACGTCCTTGAGACCAAGTGTCCCATACTCTATCCACTGACCATTGTTCAGTGACTGAGCGCATGCTTTGCATGTAGAAGGTCCCAGACTCAACTCTTGGCAGCTACAGCCAAGCAAGTAGCGATGAGAAAAGCTTCGGGCAGAGACCCTGGAGATCCACTGCGAGGATCTGGGTTTGCATCTCTCCTCAAGCTTCCTGGGCAAGTCACTATCTTTCATCCTAGCCCATGTCAGAGCGTCATTGTGTGGATAAAATGGGGAAAACCCCTTGCATGTTACCCTGAGCTCTGGAGAAGTGGCAGGATGTAAATATGAGCAAATAAAATATTTCTCAGTCTCGATGCTGCATCTTAAAAATGAGGACAATAACGATCTACCTCCCGGGATATTGTGGTGAATGCAAAAATCCTTCAAACTCGTGCATTAACTGAGCTTTCACAGGCCATATAGTTCCTTGAAAAGCGTGGCTTTAATAGCACAGCGATAACTAACAGTATGATGCTCAGTGGCTTAAAAGAGCCTATTACGTATACCGTTTGGGTGGGATGACTGGATCTGAGAGGCTTTGTTTAGCCTCGTTTTTGAAACGCTAAAAATAGAGGAAGCTGCAGCCATACCTGCATTGAAATGTGCTTCTCTCACTGTTGAGTAATACGCGCTTGCTTTTAAAAGAGCAGAGCTTTCACTTTTTGTAAACTCACATCCGAATCATTGTTTTGGAGAATGCTGAATGAACTACGTCAAACCACGGAGCCAATCCTACCTTAGAGCCAATTTTGCAAAATATTAAGGGGGTTAGGCAACAGGATTTGGGGGTTGTTGTTTTTTCAGGTTGTTGAAGGTAGTTGGTGGGGAAAATGGAATTATTGGACACTCAATTCACTTCTGCTGCAATAAGCAGGTTTTTCACATTAGGTCCAAATCCAAAATATTGTCTATTTTCAGCATAAATTCAGATTCACAGACCATGATGAAGCCCCTAGATTGAAATGTCTGAATCCCCCTTTAAAAACCCAATTCCTGGTTGAAGCTTTTAGAAAATGGTGTGTGTGCGTGTGTGTGTTTAAAATTTGGCAGCATATCTTCAACAGCAAAATTCAAACACTTAATACTTGTACTTGACCCTTTCAAATGTGACTTTAGAGAAATTCACTCCTGTTTGTGCAGGGAAAATGCACATTTGGATATAGCCTTGCTTTGAGCTATGGTAAAATGTGATAAATTTCGCAAGAGGGGGAGATATTTGCGCCAGCTTTGTAATTTCTCGCTCCGATGAGGAAAGGTGTGCCATAATTTTTTTCGAATGTATGCATATTTATATGTTTTCCACAAGACCGTGTAAGCTATACATAGCAAAGGTATTCTGGTACTGTTCGATTTATATATGTCAGTTGAGATTTTGAATAAACCTTTTTAAAAACAGGATTTGTTTGTGGCCACGTGCAAAAGAAAACGTTACTATCTCGGTGTTCTTCTCCAGCAAAGGAGATCTTTGACTAATGGGCCAAACTTGGCACATCGGGGCGTTGGGGGCAACCCACACCCTTTGCAACCCACACCCTGTGGGGCAGGATTCGGCCAAAAGGGGTTTTGCAGACACCAGTTGTCAGGAGCTTTTGAAGCATTGTGCAAAGCAGGGTTGACCATGTATTGGCTAGTGTGTGGGGAGGTTCAATCCTGTTCAGTTTGGGTGCACAAGAATTGTGCATGAATTTTTCTGCTTGTCAAATTTGGCCTCATTCTGATATGCCAGAAGGCTTCTCCACCCTCAATCACACAACAGCTTTATTGTGTATCTGTGCAAAGGGTGAACACAAAGTAGTAGCTAAAATGCCATGTTGATACACGGCCATGTTCATCAATAAATTTTTAACAAGGCCCAACTTTTGTAATAAGTAAGAGCTCAAGGTTAAAGTGGCCTTAACTTCACCCACTGTTTTGCTCACATATAAGCAAAGATCTCTTGTATATTCATATCGCCGCGACCAAGAAGCTTTTGTCAAGAGCGCTCTGTATACACACCGACCCCCTCTTTTTTGGGGGGTGGGGTGGTCCGTGTTGTGGCAAGCTGTGGCAGTGCTTGAGCGACAGGCGTATTGTGTGACAGGAGACCTTGCGCCTGAATGCGTATCGCAGCGCAAATGGGCATGGACTCCTGACCCACTGGTTTTATTTAAGCGGTAAGTGATCCCAGAGAAGGTTTCGATAAAAACCATTTTTTTAAAAAAAAATGGAACCATTTCATCAAAACATCAGAAAGCAAGGTCATCGGTAGCTGACAGCAACCAGAGCAACAATAAAACCAAATAAATAATAAATAAAAAAATAAAAGTGAGGAATTATCATTTCATTATTTACTATATTTATTAGTCACTTTTTTTCAGAAAAGCAAAACACAAAGCCACTAAAAAATATGAACATTAAAAACAAGGATAGACGACACACACACACACACACAAAATCCAACTCAATCCCATCCCGCTAAAATGTATTAAAAGAAAATCAGATTCAAATACCTGACAGAACAATACAGTGGTACCTCTGGATGTGAACGGGATCCGTTCCGGTGCCCCGTTCGCATCCTGAAGCAAACGCAACCCGCGTCCGTGCATCTGCGGGTCATGATTTGCCGCTTCTGCGCATGCACGTGATGTCATTTTGAGTGTCTGTGCATGCGCGAGTGGCGAAACCTGGAAGTAACGCGCTCCGTTACTTCCGGGTCGCTGTGGAGCGCAACCTGAAAATGCTTAACCTGAAGCTACTTCAAGGTATGACTGTATTGTTTTTGCCTTCCCCCCAAAAAAAACATATACTGATGGCACCAGACGTAAAGGTAAAAGGTAAAAAGGACCCCTTTTATGGTTAAGTCCACTCAAAGGCGACTATGGGGTTGCGGCGCTCATCTTGCTTTCAGGCCAAGGGAGCTGGCGTTTGTCCACAGACAGCTTTCTGGGTCGTGCGACCAGCATGACTAAACCACTTCTGGCTCAACAAGACACCGTGACGGAAACCAGAGCGCATGGAAACAGTGTTGACCTATTTGGCATTCTTTTGAACTGCTAGGTTGGCAGGAACTGGGATGGAGCAATGGGAGCTCACCCCGTCACGGGGATTCGAACTGCCGACCTTCCGATCAGCAAGCCCTTGAGACTCAGTGGTTTAGACCACAGCGCCACCAGCATCCCAGCACCAGACGTGCCTCCCTGGGGAGTGCATTCCATAAACGGTGAGTTTGCCACTCAGAAGGTCTGGACTGTTGTCACCACCTCCACACCTCCCTCAGAGGGGACACACAAAGTAGGGCCTCCGATGAAGAACGCAGGTCCATGTTGGTTCTTGTGGGGAGAGGCGGTCTTTGAGGGACTGGGGTCTTGATATATTTATGAGGTACATATAGGACACTCAAGAAATTTGGGCACCTGAGGCAGACTCCAAAATAGTGCCTCTCTCAGTGCCAGGGTAGGAGGAGTGAGGGAAGATCTACATCAGGAACAAGGGTGGAAGGAGATTGACATTGGGATCTGCTGCCCCGGTGGATCCTGCCGCCTGAGGCAGTTGCCTAATGGGTGGGTCGGCCCTGGGTTACATAGAAGGGATAATAAGATAAAATGGCAGGAAGGATTTGAAACCTGCGGGACCAGAGACTTACAGAAGATTGGAAGAAATATACAAACTATTTGAAGAGCAACTGTAATCAGCAAATTGCGCTAGTAGGACTACAAGAAGTTTTGTAAGGAGAAATGTTTGAAACATTGCAAAGCAGAGAAACCATAGAGATATTAGTTATGAGTTAAATGTAATTGTGGAAGTAAGAAATGTATATTTAGTGAACAGATTGGAAAATTTTCAGATGTGATTTTTGGAAGTAAAAAAAAATGGTAAAAGATATGAAAGTATGTTTAATTATTGTTGAAAATGATATGTTGAAAACTAATATAAATTTATATATGTAAAAAAAAACCAACATAGAAGGGATAATAACACAGTTAAGCCCATGGAGGTTGGTGCGTGTGAAAATGAAGTGACCAATTCTTCAGCTATTGGACTGATTTCCTCTGCAATTGCACACATCCTGAACAATTTATTATTTTATTTTATTTATTGGATTTCTATACCGCCCTATACCCGGAAGTCTCAGGGCGGCTCACAGAATAGATCACAATATATAAAATCAAAATAAAAACAATAACCCAATAACACATAAACACACCCCACCAAAAATAAGAGCCACTGAAAGAGGTGGACGCAACCATTTCTCTGCTGCTAAAGCCAGTGGCAAAATCTGCAACAGTTTCAGGAAACGGCATTCTTTGTGACACAACGAAGCATCGCTCTTTGCATTGCAAAGGAATCCATCCCAGCGCTGTCACAGCAGCCAAACAGTTTGATGTGTGCAGCACCTTCTTCCAAGTACATTTTACGGCTTAAAAAGAGCTTAAGCAAAGGGGCTTTCACAGAGTCAGCTGCCTGATGGTTGATGCCTATGTGAGATGACATCTTTATGAAGTATTTAGGGGGTTGGTACTGTTCCCACTGCATTCCATTAAGGGAAACTGCACAGTGCAAAGGCACGGATAATGCTTATCTCAGCATATTCTTTCTGGCG